CCAATCCAACGTGGGATTTTTTCAAAATAATGCTTAATAACAAAGTTGAAATTCGATCTTCAACTGTTAATATCTTCTAGAAATTTTCGAAAAAAAAAATGTCCATATTTTTCTGGTACTCCCCAAGGGAGCCTCTATCACCCCTTAAAAGGAATGACGCCAATTTGAATCACCCTGTAGAGACGAAAAGTGATAAACACAACCATCGAGGCAATGCGCAACTAAACATATTTTCCGTTGACAACTGGTTACTGAAATTGTTGCAACTGGATAGTTGCGCGCTGGTGCGAACCTCTTTTTCGGTTTTACGAGACGGTTCCAAAAACAACCGGTTAAACTGGCAAACTTGTAAGAATAAGACTATAATCAAAATGCTTTTAATATTATCAATATAAGTTCAGCCATATATATTATGGGCCACAGTGTACCACAAAGCCATATTGCTTAGGCAAGCATAATTTTTGTTTATCGTGAGAGCAACCTTTTTAGTTAGTCGTCGTCAAATCGTTGCTGATACGAAGTCGCTCTCGTGTTCGGGAATCTACTTTTGTACTGTGTTTATCTTTATCATTTTTCAATATACTTTTATTCATACATTAAGAGTGTGTCCACTTTATTTCACCAACAAAACTGCTGCAACCAGATAGATCGTTCGACGGTGCCGCATCGGGTCTGTGCTGGCGCAGTGCGATCCTTATTTCGGTTTTATGATACGGTTCCAAAAACAACAGGTTAAATCGGCTAACCGTAACTACGGTTCCAGGTTACACGTTCGGAACACTGTTATTTTAGCGTTTGCGTTAAACACCGACCATCTCTAATGTCAACAAAGGGCTAGAGACACTGGATGATTGGCTGCAGGAAATGAGGTAGAAAGGGGGCTACCAAGAGGTGATCGGGTTCCCCACATAGAGGAACAATGCACAACGGGCAGTCCAAGGCAACTGTGCAACTGTTGGCGTTGATTACCGAGAAAGGGCAGCATTCATACCCTGAATTTAAGATATACAGGAGACATTCAATATCTAACAGTCTCTAGTGTACTGAACCTCAGTTCAAGTTGCGCACAGTTAATTAACCGAATATCAGAGGCTGTTAAAAATGTAAGCTCAGAATGCTGCGAATAGTGCACAACAACGTGATTACACGGACATAAACACGTTTGCAATGAATTTAACGGGGAAAACTTCTAAACGGTTCTTTTCAAACCCAGAAGTTCATATCTAAGAATTTCGTTTTACCACCAATTACCAAAATGTTGTTCTTATTTGTAGATTAATGCCTTTCTTCTACTTCACTTACTGTGAGTTTAATTGTGAATACATCATTAAGCTATAACTTTTTATATGTTGTTGAAGTCGTTGAAAATGTGAAAGCAAATTGTTGAAATTTGATAAAAGATGGCAGCTGCAAAAAGAAGAATAAAAGCTTTTTGAATATTAATCATATTTTGTGCAACAAATAAGACTTAATAACTTACAAACAATTCATTTGCGTAGTATTTAAAAAAATAATTTTGTTTCGCATCATTTATTTTCCGAAATCTGGTAATGCATTAACACATGTGTGAAACACAGAAAGATTCTAGCAAATTCGTACGCGCCATGACGTCATCACTAGTATGAGGCTTTAATTTGCGAACAGACCAATTGACAGAAGGAGGGCCACTCTTTACCGGTAAACCTAACCTATTTCATTGCCACTTGCACTTTTTGTGCTTATTTATGCTTACTTTAGCTTTTGATACTTAAGAAGCAACAGTTATTTACGTAAATGTTAATGAAACAGATCATGTACCTTGAAAGCCATTGTTGCCGACCTTCTGATCTAGTTTTTTGCAAATACATCAGTTTTTGATAGAAATTACATTTTCACTATTTTTCCTGTAGTTCCTAAACAGTCCCAGAGGCATGACGCCAATTTTGAATCACCCTGTGGATTATGAAGTAGTGAAATTTTTGCTTATTTTTCTTCCGAGAACGCTAATTTTTACGTCATTCCAGAGAAAACTAAATGGCCTTTTTAGAAAGTGAACCATCGATAAGGAAATGGCCGTTTTCTCAAAAAAGTATGGATTTAAAAAAATTTTAGGTTTGCGTGTTTTTGTTTTGAGTTGCAAAGTCGATTTAAACAGTATGCTGATTTTTTCGAAGTTTCTTTCTCAAGCTCTATTTGAGCCACAGAATTCGCTTTGACATCATTGGTTAGAGAACTGAAAATTCGGTACAGTCATAACAAAATGACTAAGTAAATTCGAGTAGTTTTGACCCAGAAAGCGAAATTTGAATATCATCCATTTAGCAGCGGCTTCTGGATCCGCCCTGGTAAAGGGTTTCATCCTTAAACCGCTAAAAAGACTATGGATTCATTATATTGATTCTGAAACTCCCGATAAAATAGCAGACATTTTCCTAAGCTTTCGGTTAGAGAATGTGGCCCTACACAAAACACGTGTTGTACTTTAACTAGTCTTTATTGTCATCATGTTTAACGTTATGCCCGCATACCTTTAAACCGGAACAGAAAGCCGAAAATCAATAGCGCAGAATTCGCTGATAAAATATTAAATAACCCGCATTGTTTACTGGTCGCCTCTAAAAAGGGCGAATAGTCTGTTTGCTTGCGTGCTTTTCCAGGGGCATAATAAAAACGGTTGTTGAATTTATGTTCTGAGCCGACCTGGAGCGGGCTTTGTAATAAAATGCCTGCCTCTGACTAATTAAATAGTAAAATCTATATTG